TGCTGGTTAGTTGATGACATAGAGTAGTGTTGCTCTCTAATATTACAGTACAGTATTCTCTCTCCAATATGGTTTCAAGGTTCACTGATAGACTATAAGCATGATTTTTCAATGCCAATATATTAACAGCAATCAATATTTTGAAAAACATGACCTACTCCTCGGAGAGACAGCATGATAGACTCCAGCACTCAAAAATGGTTTATATGCTATGTGTCTTGTATTACAGGGGTCTCCAACTCCCGGTCCGTGGACAGTACCAGGCTGCAGCATGCCAGCAACCAGGCCGCACAAACAAGGAAAGCCCCATCCGTGGGATGCAGGCAGCATACAAAACTAGGCCCCTTCCAGTCCACGGAAAAGCCTCTCTCTATGTAACCGGTCCCTGGTGCCCAAAAGGCTGGGGGCCTCTGTTGTATTAGATGTATGTATTAGCCAAAGCCATACATGTTTCCGATCTTCCTTATCATTAGAAACAATCAGTATCCCAGTGCAAACTTGAACTTTGACAAGTGGCCATCACTACTAAGTATCACTTTGTATTAATGTTAAGAGGGGGTCATCTCAAAAGATAGGAAGATGATTCATATCTATTCCAAAGTATTGAACCTGTGCAGTAATTGTTCACATAAAGGCAGATATCTTCTAAAGGGAAGCTGATCTACTTACAAGTCAATCAGATGAAGACAAAAAATGAGTCATCTAGAGCTTAAGAAATGATGCATTAATGCAATCCAAAGATCCACAACTACCAGTATGAAATCTGAGTGGATTACAATAATCAAGGATTGGTAAGAAATATCAATGAAAAGATTAAAAGTATTCTGAAGGAGAAAAGAGACCCAAAGGTAATAATAATAATAATAAAGTTGGAAGGGACCTTGGAGGTCATCTAGTCCAACCCCCTGCTCAGGCAGGAAACATTATACAATTTCGGACAAATGGCTGTCCAATCTTTTCTTAAAAACTTCCAGTGTTGGAGCATTCACCGCTTCTGGAGGCAGGTTGTTCCACTGGTTAATTGTTCTAATTGTCAGGAAGTTTCTCCTTAGTTCAAGGTTGCCTCTCTCCTTCATTAGTTTCCATCCGTTGCTTCTCGTCCTGCCTTCAGGCACCTTGGAGAATAGCCTGACTCCCTCTTCTTTGTGGCAGCCCCTGAGATATTGGAACACTGCTATCATGTCCCCCCTCGTCCTTCTCTTCATTAAACTAGACATACCCAATTCCAGCAACCGTTCCTTATATGTTTTAGCCTCCAGTCCCCGATCATCTTCTCTGCACTCTTTCCAGAGTCTCAACATCTTTTTTATATCATGGCAACCAAAAGTGGATGCAATATTCCAAGTGTAGTGGTTAAGGCACTAGACTAGAAACCAGGAGACTCTGAGTTCTAATCCTGACTTAAGTACAAAGCCAGCTGGTGATCTTGGGCCAGTCACTCCCTCTCAGCCCTAAGAAGGAGGCATTTGAAAACCACAAAAAATCTTGCCAAGAAAATGGCAGGGACTTGTCCAGTCACCAGAAATATGACCAAAACTGGATGCAGTATTCCAAGTGTGGCCTTACCAAGGCATTGTAAAGTGGTATGTAACCATAGCAGACTGGTGTAAAACAAAGTTCTGCGCTGGCATATCCAAAGGCAGCCCAGGAGTAGTCTGTATGATGGAGGCTGAAACAGTATTTGCTGGGAGGATCAAAGGAGCTGGTCTCAAAACCACTGAAGGAACTTTCATTAGTAATAAAGATTCTCTATGCACCTAAGAGAGCTTCTCTAGATCTTGAGATTATATAAAAAGCAGAGCTGCTCAATTTGGAGTTTATGAGGCAACGGCAATCTTATGATGCGAAACCCCAAGAGACCTACAATGGCCCCAAGACCTGAATCCTGAATGATAATAATAATAATCTTACAAGGTTGGAAGATTAAATGCCAATAAGATGATTTCTATGGAAAGCCTGGCTGAAGCAAACATTGGTCCCATTCCTCAAATGATGTTCGAAGTTGTCATATATCACAAAATATAAATTTTGAAAAGAGACAAAAATGGAACAAGTTCAACATCCTTCCTCGGAAATTTCAACATCTTCATCACTGCCTAAAGTTAACTCTATGGATGTTTTGCCCAACTGAAAATAAAAGTTTGTTTTTAATCTATTTTGCTCATTTCTGCTGAAGATGTTTGATATAATGCAACTCTGATTAAACTATTCTAACCATCCTGAATATAGAATATGGCACTTTTTAGTCAAATATAATTCATATTGAAAAGCTAACTAGTGTAGAATTGGAGCTGGTTAGTATCTGGATGGAAGAGTATTAGGAAATCCTCCAGTTGTCAACTAACCTGGAAAAATTTAAAATCTGTGAAGGTGACAATCACAAATGTCTTCCATATCACTGACAAAAAAACCATGGACTTGTCAGGAGTTAATGTGAAAGAGTTCTATCTTGGCATTAGTACTGAAAGTCTCAGAATGTGTGTATGAGATGGGCAGCTATGTAAATCATTTAAATAAATTATAAGTGTGTATATAGACACACACACACACACCCTTCTGAAAATCCAGTTTTCATCCACAAAACAGCTTCAAATTTTTGTTCAACATACCTGCCGTTAACATTAGTAGTCTTGATCACCTCTCCGGGAAGAAGCACAGACAGCTGAATGTCTCTGTCAATCACATTTTCTTTTTGGTCCATAGTGCAGTTAGCTAGTTCTAGATCATCAAAAGATGAGCAATCAGTAACTTTACTTTCAGGTGGAGGAAGGGGAGCTTTTGACTTGGCTTTCCGCCTATAATAAAACAAAAAATTGAAAAAGAAAAAAATTAGACAAAGTAAATTCAATGGGAAATATTGGATTTCCCAATACTGGGAAACTAGACACTAGCTGGATACTAGAAGATCCTCTATCCCCAATGGATTTTTTAAATTAAAAGAAACTATATAAACACAGAAAGCAAAACAAGTACATAATCAGTAAACTTTACCATGCATTATCAAACAAACAAGACAATGTGGCCACATTAAGATGGTATCCAAATATCACAGATATACATCCTAAAAAGACTTTTACTTGATTATGCAATGCAAGCATGGATTCCCCACCCCCACATCTGGGATTGTGTTTAACTAAATGCTGAAAGGGGCGTTGTCTTACCTGAACGCCTTTTCTCAGCACGGAGATGGAGGATCCACCCATGGGTAGTAGACTGTATTCCTGCCCAATCAGATTAAGTCAGCCAAAGTTGCCACGCCCGTCCTGGACCCTAGATTCCAGTCTTGACGCGAGCGAAGCCATTGACTGACATAGGACGTACTGGCTCAGAAAACTAAACTAT